ATAGCCAAATTCCACCTAGTGTGAAAATGTTTGTTGGTTTTTCAATTCTTATTACGAATTTAACATTGGCTGAATGTTTCAATCTGGTTACACCAGATATAAAAGTAGATGCTAAACTCAATGCATTGCATAGCTTAAATGATCGTACATCTCTCTTAAGCATACAATCAATTTCGTTGCTGTAATTTTCGTTGGCAGCTTGGCATTGTTGCATTTTGTTGAGATATAATCATATTAACCGCACTTTAAGCCATGAATGCATTGAAACCGTGGCTAAGTCTTCTTGTGTATTTTCTTTGACATACATGTGTCGGTAACTCAGATAAGTTGCTTGATACTGCCGCTTGATATATTTTAACTAATTCCTTCTCCTTGTTTTGACAGAGGGAAGCACGATTAGAGCGAAATAAAAATCGATCCTTGTTCTCATGAAATCCTAGCAGGGATTTTACTGATTGTGTCATAGAAAACAAAGTTAAGAGTTCATCAGGATCACTGGCTCACCCATTAAGCACTGAAGTTATGAAACTTTCTGAAGCTTTGACGAGATGATGTTCTAATAAATGTGTACAATGGTGTTCTACACTATGCCCTTTTTGTCTCCATTCTTAGTTAGGTTCCTTTTTCTTTCTTCTTACTGCAGTTGTTTCACATGGCCAATTAGAGAAAATTGCATTTAAGTCTGTTAATGTCTGTTACATCATAGAAAGAACATTCAAGTAAATTAGTGAGCACCAATGTTTTAATGGCTGTTAGCAGTAAGCTATTAATGTTGTGATATATATATATATTATTGTTGTGATAACAACTGTTCTCTACCTAATTGTGGATATTCTTGTGGAAACATGATCAGAACTCTGGATTTGCTATGAATGGATGCTTTTTTTGAGAACAAATTGTTATCTTACTGGAGAAAACATTGAGTTGTAGATTGACACAAATTATTTTGACACCTACAGCTACTAAAGAATCTATTCATTGGTTCCTTTTGCACTTCCATATTTTTTTTTAAATTTCAATTTTGACCTATTTTTAAAATATCCAAAATAACGAAAAACATTATCTTGGATTACATGTTTGATTTTTTATATATATACAATTATGCTTATTTTTTCTAATATGTTTTTCACTATTATTATATTTCGGAAATATGTTTGAAATACGAAGGGTAGTGTATGAGAAAAGTTTCATACAAATGTGAAGGCTCATTATACATCAATAATGAGATCCCTTGATAAATGTGATACTATTGTCTCTTTGAATATATCATCATTTCGTAATTGTATGATCATGTTTTTAACATAGTATTCACATTTACAATTTTTAAAATTTTTTGTATGATGAAAATAAATTTTTCATACAATGGTTTAAATAAGATACCTACTGCCTATCTTAGCTTGGAACATACAGTTTAACAAAGAAACTTTAAAAGTATCAGTGAAGTTGGACTTGGATTCCCTGCATTTCAAAAGCAATTAAATTGCAAGTCCTTTAGCCCTTACTATATCGGGCCAAAACAGTTTTGTTTTCTTATCGTTTGAAGAGCCTAACACTATTTTTACTGCAAATCCGCGAAAACAACTTTAATTACATGCTCTATGCATATGATTACCCAATTACAATTTTATAATCTACCAACCAAATATTACTATGTAGTATAATTTTCATTGTTTACTAAATCAATGTGTTTGGCTGGGTCTACAATGCGGACTAGGTTAAAAGGAAAAAAAATGTTTTTCTTTATAAGTTACTAGTTCATTCATTATGTTATAAGATGCATTTTTTATAAGAAACTATGAAGAGAGAAAAAATAATAATAACCAGTCTAGCATAGAAAAGTAGTTGGAAAAAGAAATGAGAAGATTTTTTTTTGTACTTGTATTTTTAATAATCTTCCACAAAAACGGGTATTAAAGCTCTGAGTAGAAACTTTCCTTATGTTTTGAGGATGAGAGATAATGATGATATTAGTATCGTGACTAAATTGGATTTTCCTAAATAAAAATGTTGAATGAAAGATTTATTATATGTAAAGATTTGGTCATATTAAGGATAAATGTATCAAACCAAAAGATAATTTGGAGAGACATTGAAAAAAGTTAAATAAGATAAATATTTACATGATTAGATAATTGATAATATTTATTGTTATTATATAATAAAATTTTGGTTTACAATTTGTAAAAGAGATTAAGTAAGTTGTTTGAGTGATATATTTTATATTAGAGTCATAATAAACGCTATAAACTTTATAAGTATCTTCTATCGAAGAAAAGGAAGTGAAAATAGAAGAATAATGAGCAACCTCCCCTACCACCCAACTATAGGATAAAAAATTAGAAGAAATTTATCCCTCCTAGTTCATGGAGAAGAACTAAGACCTACTAAAGGTTCAATCGAATCATTAGACTCATAAGAAAAAGCAGACTTAGCAATAGAAACGTGGAGATTGAAATGCTCGATAGAAAACTAGAAATATTTGGGAACTCAAGAAAGTGAATGATCAAAGAACTCGAGGAAATAAAGATTCAAAACAGATATAATGTAATAAAGGAAAAAAAACCCCTTATTAATGCTTTGACAAATGTCATCTCGAGTTGGAGTGGAAAAAACTTCTCAAACTTGAAAGGAATAAGTTTTGAATGAATAAATTTGGAAGATTAAAATATTTTCCGAAATTAATATCTTTTTAATGAGTATCAATAAGGTAACGAATTAATGAATAGTTAATATCATAATAAAGACAAATTATTATTATTAAACAAATATTTTTATTACTTTAAAATATCTTTGGTAAGAGGTTTATAAATTATACAATTTTACTTGTTTTTATCATTTGTTACTTTGATAAAAAAAAATAGATATATACTTTACTAACTTAAGTATCACCGTATCTTTTTGTAGGTGAATCTTTCTTTCGTTCTTTAAAACCGTTGTAATTCATCTCGTATTTAGATATATATTTATTCATGATTAGGTAATATTTTATAAGTTAGTTAAGATTAAAGTCAACAAAATTTAAGTTACCGAGTTTTTTATTTATCAATTTTATTTATAATTTTCTTGAAAAAACATAAATAATGTTTATAGTGAAAAAAAAAGTTGTCAAGATAAAAAAAACATAATAACGTTATACTTTCCTTCAAAGAAGAGGAGAGGAGAGTCTCAATTTTTTTTTTTTTGTTTTATGTTATATTCCCAAACATAATAAACATATTTCTTAAATACATAACATAAAATATGTATTATTATTTTTATTTTATTTTTCCTTTATTATTATATTTTAACGGTCAACTTGAACCTATTTTTTCTTTTAATATATTTTAGTATTTGAGAATATATAATCATCCTCAGTTAAGATTTTTTAAAAAACTATATATAAGCATCAATCATATTAGTCTAAAATTTTATGTGGTTTAGATAATATTAACATATGATTAGATAAATGATAATAGATTATTAAATTCAGAAATTTATCTAATAGATATTATTTTTTAGGAACTAGTGACAATTGACAAAATGATAATTTATTCTATTTTCCTTTTTTTTTCATTTTACTCTTCTTTTGTTAAATTTTATTCACTTTTTTTTACTGTGTTTGTTACTATTTTTGCTTTATTTTCTAAGAAAAAAAAACCTTTTTTTATATGTTGTCTGTTCATTTTATTTTATTCTGTTTTTCTTGTTTGTTTGATTTCCGAATGGATGTTTACTTTTCTTTGTTCTTTATATTATCTTCTACACCTTTTTATTGTGTTTTTTTTTTTTTAAAGTAAGTGTATAACTCTTTAACATTTAATACTGGTTTTGTTATGACATTATCTCAACCCTATGAAAGCAACTCCTCAAATGTCTTGATATATTGATTAACTAAGAGTGATAAAACGTGTTAATTATCTTGTATTGTTTTGAACTCATCTTAAATGAGAATGGTTGCATAAGTTTAATAAGAGAATGTTACTATTTATGACAAACAAGAGAAATTAATGGAGTGGTATAGTACAATTAATTTTGTAAAGTTGTTTTAGAAGGTGGACATATTTATTATTGTGAGAAAGAGCTTAAAGTGTAGTTATGGTGGGACAAAAATAAGGACAAATCTGCCTTAAATGTACCGGGAAATTCTTCTCATAACATTATTTTTACTCATAAATATATTTTATAATTTATTTTCTTAAAAGAAAGATATTTGGCTGGTGATATTGATTTTACTGTTTTATCCATATAACTTTTATTATTCCCACTTCACTTGCATTAATCAAAACTTCTCAAATTTATATTAAATATTCTAAAAATGGTAAAAAGAGAAACTTAGTCTAGGTTAGAATTGTTCAACTTAAGTCTACAAGTATTATAGTGTTTAGAAAAAACAGAGAAAGAATATTTGGAGAGATTATGATTTTGTAATAATAAAATTTTCAATAATAAATTTTTCTCATTAAAACTTCAATTTTTACTCTAAATTACTTCTACTTTTAACTTATTTGAATTTCGTAGGTCCTTATTTATATATTTTCTTTTCTAAAACTAAATTTTTGTATATATTTAAATGATATTGACAATAAAAATTAAAATATTTTTAAAATATTAAAAATACATAAAGAGCAAGTAATAACAAAAATTAATTATTTTATAAAATTTTGATCAGAAAATTATATATTTATAAAGCTTGCATTTTATTTTGTAAAAGTAAAAACATTTTATCAAGATACTAAAAAATGCATTCTTCTATAATTTTTTGAACGCACCCAAGTATAATTTTAATTTCTCGTTGCGAAGTTGGTAAGACCCTAAATATATATAATAACTAAGTTTAAACTGAAGAAATAAATGGTCCGGGTCAGGTAACTAACTAGTGGTTCGGGTTGTTGGGCCGATATGACGAAAAGACAATTGATTATTCGGGTCAAACCCGACGCACTGGGATCCGAAGTTTCATAAACTGCAAAATTGACTAAAAAGAGAACTGAAAGCAGAAGGAGAAGCAAGCGAGGAAGAAGATGGAGCAGAAAAATTGGAACCTTCTGGACGAAGCGTTGGGGCTTCACAACAATAACGCCAAGCCATGGCCTCTGTGTGGTCGCTTCGTGCTTGTGGAGGACTGTGTTGACACGAGCGCCGCTTTCGTTCTTCATCACATCCTCAAACGCTCCTTCTCTTCTTACCCTTCTTCCGCCGTTCTCTTCCTCGCCTTCTGTCACACTTTCTCCCATTACGATCGTGTCCTCCGAAAGCTCGTATTTCCTCTTCTCTCTTTATGCATTTTATTCTTCTTCTTGGGGTACTGTAATCTTATATTTATGTAAAGTTGATTTGGTGGGAAAACTGGTTTTGTCGCTGATACGGTGGCTAAATATTCTTTTAACATTTGATGTCTTTGCTTAACTAATGGTGTTTTCAATGACTCTAGTGCCGGAGGCGCTATGTTAGTGTCACTCTGTTTGTTTAGTGAATACCGAAACTGATCCTCGAAGGTACAGGCCATGTCTTGAAAAAATAAGAAATTTGTGAAAGTGCAATTTGTCACTTAGTTTAATCTAAAATTCCAAAAGTAGTGTGAATGATATTTTAGCATAATTTTAGGGACTGAGTAATCAATCAATTTAGTCCATTAAGTATCACCATCTCTCCTAAATAGTCTTTTAAACCAAGGAAATTATATAAGTAGTTTTCACAGAATTAAAAGTCATCTTACACTATCTCTCAAGTTTTGAAAATTCTTCAATTTAATTTATCAATGTTAGTAAAATATATTTACCCCGGAACTAAATTGATAGATATTCTTTAAGTACTATTTAGAAGAGAGAGTGATACTTCGTCAACTAAGTTGATAGTTTACTCTTTTGTTTTCTGTCATAGTTTGGTTTCATTGCATGCTAGTCAATTGCTTGTCAACCAGCATTGGTTGGCACAAATGGTAGTGATTTGTGTCCCTTAACCAAGTAGTCTACGGTTATATCCTGGTGATATCACTTTGGGATTGAAAAAAACCTTGTTGGTAGAGGAATATTTACCTTGTATGCACTCATAGTCTCCAACGAAGTTAATATTTGCTTCTGACAATGAATAATCCGCATTAATACCATGGTTACAAAAAAATTGTTTGCCAGATTTTTGTTGTTGTATTCTGTTAGAGGTTGTTGTTACTTGGTTGTATTTGACAATCTTCATGGGTACCTGTGACATGATAGGGTTGCAACTTAGCTGCTCAAAGAGATAATGGCAGATTCTTTTTCCTTGACATGCTTATGTTTCAGTGTCCAGGTGAGAAACTCCGGTATTGGTATTTTGTTCTTTTCTTCTCACTGTTTGTTGAAAAAAAGTTAATGATGTAAGAATGGTTTGTTGCGATAATGTGTGCTTAATTATTACTGGTGTACTGCGTTCAAAGTTTAGATCAGAAACTACATGAGTTTATCACTCGTTAGTGTCCCTAAATCTTCTTGTTAAAGTAGGTGAAAGGTTTAAAAGTATGTTTAGAATATGAGTATAAAAATATGCAAGAATGATAAATAGATTGAAATGGAGAGGGAAGAAGAAGTAATACAGTAGTAATGTGATATGAACCAGAGACACATTGTGAATTTCTTGATGTACTGTAGTAACTGGACTATTTCTTGATGCTTTTTGGTGTCGTATTAGAAATATAAATTATTACTTTCAGATACTCAATATAGTACTACTAGAAGAAGCAGAGTAGCATGGAGTTTGGGTGGCTATAGATAATATAAAAGTACTCAAACTAGTTAGTCAACAATTGATGGAAAAGAAGTGAAATTTTTATTGCTCTACTTGTGTATAGCTTGATCTTGTCCTTGTTTGGGAGGATATACAGAATTAAAAAATGATCAAAAGTTAATAGATGAAGATAGTGACAACTATCCTTTATAGTCACATTAGGACTATAAATCTCATGACTTATTTTTGAGGTTGAGAAATTATTCACAATGCAGTTTTTGTAGCTTCAAGCAAAGGTGAATCGGAAGTAAAGGTTGAGAAACATGTTCACCAATAAAGAATTTAAAGATCTAAATTTTAGATGAGAAAAATGAATCAGCAACCCAGTGTTTGAAGCACATAAAAATATCCTGGGTAGAGATGATAATGATATACTAAAAGTATTTGAGCTTATATTAAAAGCTCTGTGGCTAGTTAACAGTAGTGATGAAAAGCCAGCAATGTGTTTTTCATATGAAGTCACTTGAAATTTGGTTCATCTGCTTATAAACTTCCATTGTTTTAATAAAATCCTTTATTCAAGCAATTTCAACCAGAAATTGTCAATGAAATTTGAGTGCATTTACTACCTCCATACAAAGAAAATAAATAAAGCAACTATTAAATGGTTACAAAAAATTGTTTTCACATTTTATTATTTGAAGCTAAGAATGAGTCATAAAATGAGATGTCAAGAAGATATTGCAACAATTTAAATCTAATTAATCTTGACTGCATATTTCAAGATGATCCATTCTCTCCTTAGATTGAGGAAAGAGAAAATCCACTGTTAGATGAAATACAAAATTGAGTGGTTGTTGCCTAGAACTGATACCGTGATGGAGATATGGAAGTTGCTGACAATATGACAAGATCACTAAGTAACTCTAGTAACACTGGAAGCTGAAGAAAGTGATGATAACTAATGAGGAGGATGAACGAAATACAAAATAATCTATATCCAGGGATATACTATACGCATGACAGTGGCTTAATGACTGGTGTGATATCTTCTAGACCTGTAGTTATTCTTTCTAATAGTTTACTTAGTGATAGAAAAAGTTGTGTGGTTCAGATGTAGGAGAGAAAAAATGAAGCCAAATGTTACACTTCGAAGATTTTTCCACTTCTATTATTGTACAATGTTTCAGTGACCATGGTATTGATGAATATCTCAGAGTAGTAGAGTCAATAGAGTGGCAGATGAAAACCATTCCTTTTGGTGTAATTAGAAAGTTCAATTTCATTTAAGCTTTTGAAGTTTACATCCCATGAATTCTAAATTAGCAACTGATCATAATGTGAGGTGTGAAGTTTGCAAGGCTGCAGTTCATTTGATGGGATCAAGAAGTTAATAATTCTAAAAAAAAAAAAAAACAAGTTCATATCCTCCAATTTGGAACCTTGTGTGATTCTGTTCTACTCTATATTTCCCTATCAATTCAATCATAGCTTTGGAAGAATAATGAAATCGAGAAATTTAGAGTCCGTGGGATTATATACATCCCTGAGTAACAGATTTTATTGATGCCTAGGTGAAGGAAAACCCAATTATGGGCTTGCTTCTGTGTTTGAGCAAATTGAAAGAGTGATCACTGTGTTACATCAAGAGAAGAAATCCATCTCTATCATTATAGATGATATATCTTTTCTTGAAGTTGCTGCTAATGGTTCTTCTGATGATGTTTTAAACTTGCTGCATTATTGCCATACGTTAACATCAGAATATGTAAGACAATACCGCCTTCACTGTGTTTGAAATCAATTCCAATGTTTTTAGGTCTTTATTTTTGTGTTTCTGTCGCAGGGTTGTGCATTTATTGCACTTGATCATAAAGATATTTATTTGAATGGAGACAGGGCTGCTGTTATCTTAGAGATGGAGTACCTTGCTGACATTTTGGTCAAGGCTGAACCGTTAGCCACTGGTTTATCAAAAGATGTGCATGGACAGGTAGAGTTGTATCATTATGCACTGCAGTATAATAAATTCATAGTGTAGCTGTACATGCCCAGTACATGCCCACGTTTTTCTAATTGTTATCTTATTGAGAATAACCTGTGAACTTCCTTTGGTAGGTTGACACCAACACCATGAAGGAGTTCCTATCTTTCCATCTTAATCTAAGCTTATGACAAAACTGTCATTTTACATTATTTCATTTTGTTGATTAAATATACCCTGCCACTGCTTCTTTTCTGTTGCAATGGAATATAGAATAGAAAAAATCTTCAAGGCAAGTTACAAAAACATTCTTTCCTTCTTAAAGGCCTTGAAAGCAAAGTATAAGTGTCCATTTACTAAAGACACTATATAACTTTTGCTTTCAAAACATGCATATGGCATCAAGGTTCAGTTTGATCTTTACTAAGAAATCTGATCTTAAGTTTTATCCTTTTGTAATGTCCACTTCCAAGTCCTCATATTTAAACTCCCTTTCTCCGTGAGGTTTCTTTTCAAGGGAATTATGAGCTTATTTTTTCTCATTCTTTTTGGTGTTTGGGTATAAATCAAATGACTTAACTTTTCCTTTAGTCATATTAATTGGAATTACCCTTTTCAAGTTAAACAATTTTACATTACAGTTAAAGAATTGAAGCTGAAATTCAAACAAAAGTAGTATCATGTTAAAAATTTCACTAAGGCACTCATACAAGATTGGTATCTTCTTTTGAATAAAATAAAATGTCAAATGATAGGTTTAAATGTTAATTTGAATATTTTGATTGAGCAGATATCTGGTAAAAGGCAAGAATCAGTGATTACGATTTTAGGCAGTTAATAGCATTTAAGACTAGGAAAACAGAAATTCAAATTTTAGTCTTTAAATACCCATATGTATTATTTGATAATTGTGACAGAGATAGTGGCAATAATATACCAATTAGAGAAAAAAATCTTTGTTATCAAATTTGATGTGGACATAAAAGCCTAAGGCCATGAGAAGAAAGATGAAAATCTAATTAAAGACTTGATTGAATGAATGACTAGAGGAAGGATTAGAAAGACCCAATAAGCTTTACAACAAGGTGACTCTTTTATGAAAAACCCAACAGTCAAAGACTCAAGTCACTGAGGAGACTAAGCTGATTACATGTGTAGTGGACTTGGAGTGTTAAAATAAAATTAATTTATTTTTATTTTGGTGGAGTTGGGATTTAAATCCAAGACCATTAGTTTAATATTTGATTAGTTTTAATTCTTTTGGGTTTCTTTTTATTATAAACAAAGTCAAGCCTAATAAAACCCTAAATTTTTGTATTTATGATTGTTGAATTAAAAAAAGAGGCAATAAATGATTTTTGTCAAAGTGAGAATATTTCTCTACTAGGGTTCTTCTTGTATCTTTGATCTTATCAATAATTCACCAATTCTTGCGGCGATCACCCTTAGGTTTATCAAAGTTTATTTGTGACACCTTCCTTTATTTAGGTTTTGTTCTATTTTGTTCTCAATTCCTTATTTATTTGTAATTGATTCCAAATCCTAAATCTTTTTGCGTCAATTCTATTTGGAATCTTATCATTTGGTATTCAGAGCAAGGTTTTGTTGCGTACACCTTTGTACTATTTTTTTTACATTGTTCACGACACTGTTCCGCACTGTTCATGGTATTGTTAAAAAAAAAGTTGAAAAAAAAAAACAAAAAGAGAAAGAATTAAAAAAAAGGAAAAGAAAGAAGTTTGAAAAAAAAGGGTTATCAATCTTTATATCCCGTGTACATCAATTGTTTGCTAAAATTCTTGATAAGATTGAAGATGCAAGGAAGAATCTTAACAGAGAAATATTCTTACTTTAACAAAAATCATTTGTGGCCTTTTTTCTCAATTTAACAATCATAAATACAAACATTTAGGGTTTAGGGTTTTATTAGACTTGACTTTGTTTATAATAAAAAGAAACCCAAAAGAATTAAAACTAATTGAATTTTAAACTAATGGTCTTGGGTTCAAATCTCAACTCCACCAAAATAAAAATAAATTAATTTTATTTTAATTCTCCAAGTCCACTACACATGTAACCAACTTAGCCTCTTCAGTTAGTTATTCGTTCAATTAAGTCTTCAATTAGATTTTTATCTTTCTTCTCATGGCCTTGGATTTTTATGTCCATATCAAAATTAATATCAAAAGCTTGTATTTGAGCATGTGAGAGCATGAATAAAGTGATGGTCGGTCTAAAGAACAGTGTATCTCTGTCCCGATTGACAAAGTCAATCAATTATGACAATTGGAGTTTTTAGATAAAGCTTTTTCTTGGATTCCAAGAAAATTAGGAGGTAGTCGAGGATGATTAAGAAAAACCAGCAAGCACTGTGGGCAATACCTCATCCTAAAACAAGGCGTTGAAAGAGACGCGTGTGAGGATAAAACAACCCTATACATGTTGTATCGAACTGTTGATAAATTTGGTTTTGAGAAGATAATAAATGCTAAAAATTCAGAAGAAGTGTGGGAGATTTTGGAGAATACAAGGACGATGATCAGGTGGAACAAGTTTGGCTACAAACACTTCGTGGCAAACTTGAAAGTGTGAGAATTGTTGGAAGACAAGAGTTTTTCTTTCATTGTGGGTTAAAAAGTACCCGTTGTTGTTGTTTTGGGTCAAGAGTACCCTTTGCCTGGTCTAATAGGCTTCGTTGGAGGGGGCATGTTGGATGTCCCACATCTCTTGTCTCATGTTATATGGTATGATTTAAATACCTGTTAGGCTACACTATGTATTGCCAATTGGTTTTATGTCCGAACCTTAATATGGTATTAGAGCTAAAACTTACTTTTTTCCGATTGTTGTCTTAAGTCAAGAATTGTCCTTTCGTTGTGGGTCAAAAGTACCTTTTAACTGGTCCGACAAACTTTATTGGAGGGGTTATATTGGAATTCTCACATCGCCTGTCTCATATAATGTGATATGGTTCAAATATATGTTAGACTACTCTTCATATTGCCAATTAGTTTTATGTTGAAATCTTATCATAGTATACTAAAGTCTAACATCTTTTTAGTTGTTGTCTTGGGTCAAGAGTTGTCCTTTTGTTGTAGGTCAAAAGTATCATTTGCCTTATTCGGTAGGCTTCGTTGGAGGGGGCGTGTTGAAAGTCCTACATCGCCTACGTCATAATATGTGGTATAGTTTAAATACCTGTTAAACTATTCCTCATATTGCCAATTGGTTTTATATTGAAACCTTAACAAGAATGAAAGAGTCAGAAAAAGTTTTCGAGTACATCATGTGTGTTGAAACCGTGGTGAATCAGCTTAATTAGAATGGAGAGATACTCTCTGATGGTCGAGTTGTGGAGAAGATCTTGAGATCGTTAGTCGACGACTTCAAGAATGTTGTGTGCGCGATAGATCAAAGGATCTATCCGAGCTTATGGTACAAGAGTTGGTTGGTTCCCTTGAGATCCATGAGTATCGGAAGAAAATGAAGGAGGCAACACTCCAAGCGCTCCAAAGTGAAACATCTTCTAAAGAAGAAAAAGCTCTCCACTTAGAACACTCGTGGTAGAAGACGAAGACATGGAGGTTGAGACTAAGGTGGTAAAAGTCTTGGATAAAATAGTGAGGAGAAAGATTCAAACGAGCAAAATTGATGTGGTAGAGGATGTGATTGGAAAGGAGGTTGGTCACAGACCTAAAATGTTGAATGCTATAAGTGTCACAAGTGTTACAATTGTGGAAAGGTGGAACATTTTGTTAAAGAATGTCGAGCTAAGAAAAAGATGAGGAAACAAATCTGGTGGAGGAAGTAGAAGTGATAGTCCTGATGATCGATCATAGGTTGGGAAACATAAGTGGAGTCGATCACATGTCGAAAGGATGTGAAGGTATCGATTACAACTCGATATAGTACTTAGACACACGTGCAAGTAATCACATGTATTGGGACAAACACTTGTTCAAAGAAATACAGAAAGTAGAGACTGAATATATGTCTTTTGGAGATGTATCAAAGGTCTTAGTAAAAGGTCGAGGTATGATATATTACTTGTAGAAGGATGACCTAATCGGGTCAATTCAGGATGTGTACTATGTTTTAGATTTCGAAAGTAACATCTTGAGTATGGACAATTGATGGACAGAGGCTATTAAGTATTCATGAAAGATCAAGTATTGCATTTGAAGGATAAGGTCAGGAGGTTGATCGCCCAAGTTGAAATGGAGAAGAATAAAATGTACAAGTTGCAGCTGATAAACATTCAGGAGATGTGTCTAAAACTAAATGTAGAGGATAAGATGTGACATCATCAATTTGGTCACCTGCATTTTGTTAGTCTAGCCAAGCTGTCAAAGAAGAATATGATGCTTGGATTAACGAGCATGGAGTGTGAGGGGAGATTATGTGAAGAATGTGTGCTCAGTAAATAGGTGATAACCCTATTTCGAGAAAAAAACTGAGTACCGAACGAAGAAGCGACTCGAACTGATTCATATCGATTTGTGTAGATTGATTACCCTTAAATCATTCAGTGGTAAGAGGTATTTTATGAATTTTGTTGATGATTTCTTAAGAAAAATATGGATTTATTTTCTGAGAGAGAAATCCAAAGAGTTCAAGAAGTTTAAGATGATGATGGAGAAGATGACGGGGAGACATATCAGGTCAATCCGATCTGATAGAGATGGAGAGTTTACATTGGCAACCTTCATGAAATACGGTGAAGATGAAGACATAAGGAGATTTCTGACAGTCTCGTTCTCATTCACAACAAAATGGTGTGGCCAAGTGGAAGAATCGAACTGAACTTGACATGATTCGGTCAATATTAAAAAGAAAAAACATGTCAAAGGAGTTTTGGGCAAAAGTTGTACAATGTGTTATCTATATGGAAAATAGATGTTCACATACAACGTTGGATCATCTAACACCACAAGAGTCATGGAGCGGTAATCGTATCTCATCCAAGAGTGTTCGACAATGTTGCTTATGAACATGTACCTGCTAAAAAAAAGACGAAGCTTTAAGATAGAAGCAAGAAGTATATCTTCATTGGATATAATGAGAAGACGAAAGCTTATAAGTTGATATACCCAATCAACGAGACGGTGGTGGTAAGTTGTGATGTCCGAGTTGATGAAGCAAGTGAGTGCAACTTAGATGACTCATTGGAGGATGCTAGTGGAAGCTATACCACCAGTTATAGCAAGTTTCGAAATCAAGGAGGAAGAGGATCTACAACCTAGGAGTTTCCAAAACTTGTACAACTTGACAAATGAGGTGCATTTGTATCTTCTGGTAGATTCTAAGGACATAAGGTTTGAAAAGATAGATCCCAAGAAGTTCTGCCACTAGATTGGTGTGAAGTGAATATTCAAGAAAAAGATAAATGTACAAGGTGGAATAGATTAGTATAAAGCTCGATTGGTTACAAAGGACTATAAATAGAAAGAAAGAATAAACTATGATGCGATGTTCAACCTAGTGGCAAGACAATTTGGTTGTTGATCTCTTTGACAGTATAGTATAAATGGTTGATTATGTAGAAGGATGTTAAGTCAACATTTTTGAATGATGTGCATCGTGAACATGTGAAGGAAGACAATATGAAGCATATGCACATGACAAGTCAAGATCAAGTTGTGAATATATTCACACAACCATTTGCTACAATTTTGTTTTATAATTGCAAGAAATTGATCGAGATGAAGAATGTAAGAAACCCTTAGGTTGGTGAGGTCGGTTTGACTAATCTCAATCAATAGAAGAAAAACATTTATGTTTACGGTGAGGTTTGGTTAAATAAAGTTATAAATCCAATAATCGATTTAAATGTTAGTTTGAATATTTTGATTGAGCATATATTTTGTAATGCAAGAATTAATGATTACAATTTTAGGTAGTTAAAAACATTTAAGAGTAGGAAAACAAAATGTCAAATTTCAATCTTTAAATACTCAATGTCTTATTTGATAATTGTTATAGAAATGGTGGCAATAGTATACAGATTTTTGAAAATTCTATTTTCTACTTTTCCTGTACAATTAGTCTGCATATTGCATTTGATTTTTCTCTTTTCTCTTTCTAATTAAATGTTACAAGTCCATATACAAGGTTCCTTTTCGTATTTCAGTCAGTCTTTCGGCATCACACTACAATGGCCAAGGAAAAATGTCTTCATTTTTATGTTTTGTAGCCAGGCCTAGCTTAATTTGATTCTATTTTCTTCGTTCATCTCAAAATACAGCAGAGCACTTGTTTACACTGTGCAGACCCTAAAATGCAATGACATTTTGTTCCATATCATGTTTTGATCCCCAATTCAATTTTGATACTTCCAAATATCTGTCATCGCTGGCACTCAGGCATGTATAAGGCATTCTGATCCCTAGCAATTAAATATGGAAGAGAACTAACATTATTGTTTATCTTCCCATTATTGGATTTTGTTGTGTAGCGACTTCCTGCTAATAGATCATGCTACTGTTTGCGTTGATTCGTGGGATTTCTCTCTTCAGTTGAAGATGAAAAACTTGTCTCTAACGTTAGATTAACTCATATATATCAATCACCTTGGTTGATTATGTTTTTTGTTCATCTTATGCAGTTGATGGTGTTAGATAAGGAAACACAACATCAACATGGAATTTCAGCCATTAAGACTTACGACTTTCACTTCAAAATCAAGGAAAATGGCATCGAGTGCTTTTATCCTGGCACAAAAATCTAGTTGTGATCAATGATGCTTGTACAAACAACTGTGTAATCTTGATAAGCGGAATATTTCCTCTTTTTTGTTTATTTTTATTTATTTGGTAGAAAGAGTGAAGAGTAATTCATTTTTTTTTCTTTGGTAGGAAATTATTCTTAATTTTCAGTGGGGGCCTTCTGTATTTTAAGATTAATTTCAATGAAATTTGTAGTCAATATTGTAAGATGACATACTCCCATGTTACTAAGGATGTTTGCTATTTTATTTATTTCTATTTTTTATTAAATAATCATTCGAACCAATTATAAAAATCAATTATGATTTTGTTTGATTTTAATTTAATATAAAATCCAAACCAATATTTACAATTCTCTTAGATTGATTTTATAGTATTTTTTGTTTCTAAAAATTATTAAATATTTTATAATAAAAAGTTCTTAAATAAAAAATATATTACGTAACTTTTATTATATGATTATTATATTCATAATTTTAATTCTTTATATTTAAAGATAAATTACATAATCTCATAACTATAAATTATAATTTAAAATTTTAAAACAATCATATGTTATATGTATTTATTAATTGATAATTAATTTTAAATATATCATATTATATTTATATATAATAAAATATTTATTTCGGTTCTGAATTTCTAATCTGAAATTCAAAATAAATTGTGCAGTTTAATAAAAATAGATTAAAAAATTTAAAAATATTTTAATTTTGATAGATTTTTTTATTATTATTAGTTTGGTTTTGAATGCTCGTAAATATTATTATCATCGAAGGATTTATGACACGGTTGATGGAGTAATTGGTTCAATTTGTATACTGGTCGAACGAATATTTTGCTTGATTGTGTAGTGTGTGAGTAATGAAAGCAAAGGAGTAGTAAATTTTAGTCATAAATTCAAAATGGATACAGTGATTGGAATATTCACCAATGATTTTGCCATCTAACTTTAAATATTTTATTTAAAAGTTTATATTGTGTATCATCATAAATTACTTACAAGTTGTTTAACATCAATTTCAAATTATACGTAATACTCATTAAGATGTAATTTTACTATCATTATGAAAGAAAATTTTCTTATTTTAAAAATAGTTGTTTATCAAATTAATTCAACTAACAACTTCATAAATATATGACTGTGAATTTATAAAATAAATGTACGGTTCTTTAATTGATCCATCAATAAAAATGATAAAATTAACTTTTTGATGATATTATTACTAATTTCCTTTGTAAACATGTAGTAATCATTAGAATTAAGCAACTTTTATTTCTTAAGTGAATATATATATGAATTTATAGATATTTTTTCATCATAATAGGCTTATATTGATCAATCACTTATATTAAATATAAATTCATTTTGATTGGGAAACTTTTGCTTTACCATAATGTATGTTTCAATTATATTAATATATGTTTAGTATAAACCATAAAAGTCTAATAATTTAAATATAAATTTTTCATTAATAGTATCATGATCTCAAAACATATTTTTATTATATATAAGATAAATATATACAAGAAAAATATTTTTAATTAAACAAATTTTGAAGAATATTAAACTAAATTCATATAAATTGGAAGAAAAAAATCCTATATTTTTTTAATGTTTTTGTCACCAATAACATGATTAATTGTTTCACCTGATTGAGTGAAATACAATATATCATGAATATTAATATTAATATTAATATCATCAATTTAATGATAATTAAAATTATCATACTCAAACAAAATTCATATAATTATACATAAGTAAAATTAATATTATTATAATTAAAATCATCATTCTCCTAAGTAAAATTCATATAATTATTATCATAAACAAAATTCATATAATCATAATTAAAATCATTATATCTCCTATGCAAATATATTTTTTTCTTTTTGTTTAACAAGCTATTTTTTTTACAATAAATAAGATATCAATGGTCTTTGATAATTCATCTTGTTTGATACTCTTTTATTTTTTTTATTTCACTTTTAATGATATTTTAAAAAAAAATCTTTATAATAATGTTTAGGATTAAGATAGTTAACACAATTACAATGATATTCAAGTTCATATTCAATTCTACAGCTATATAAATAAAATATTTTCACAATCATTTCTAAAAATGGAATATAGGAATGAATATTTTTATATATAGTTTTGGTAATGAAATATGTATACTTTTGGGAATGAAAAATAATAATAAAATATTTTTCACATTTACTTTTGATAATGATCCAAAACAAATCTAATAAAAAATAATAATAAAATATTTTTCACACTCAATTTTGAGAATGATCCAAATTAAATCTTACAAGTTTTGAAAACTTATTTATTCATAAATTTCAAGTAGAAGATATACATAATCATGATCACATAAAATTTAGAATATTAAATTAATAATAACCACGTTATATACTGTAAAAAAAAATAATATATAAAATAAAGGAATAATTATTTATCCCAATATATTAGAATCATCATACTTATAACATGAAATAAGATCCAAGATATGTATAAAAATAAAAAAGAATGATAAAGTATTTAAATTTCTTATACTTCACTAAATAAAATATTTTATTTATAAATATAAAATATAAAACTTAGAATTTACAAATATTATAAAACCTCACAATAATATATATGTGGGTGAAATCATTTTTAATATTACCTCAAATATATTTTTTTATCTGCTTCCCAAGTAAATAATTCCAAATATTTTTTAGAGAATAGTTTCTTCAAACGTTTTGAGACTTTTTTTCACACATAATACTATTTTAAAAAATATTTTCTAAAATAGCACATCTGAATATTATTTACGAAAGTAACACTGTTTACTGTTCAATGATTTGAATCCAATGCTCCCTCACATGGTTTCTGACGCACACAAAACCCAAGCAAAGTGAGTGGGTCAACATCTCTTTAAATGTGTTTGAATTCTTCTGCTTTTGTCTAACCCAATGCAGGGAATCCAAGATTAGAATCCTAACTTGGGTGGGTGACTCAACATTGGATTCCTTACTTGTGTGCATCAGAAAGGCATGAGAATCCTGACTTGGGTGGGTGACTTATCATTGTAAATTGTTGCAGGTTTCCTCGCTCAAGCGATGAGTTTCTTGCTTGAGCGAGAATTGACCACAGGTTAAACGTCCAATGCAGTTAGCCATATAATGCAACTTAAGTCACCACATATTTCAATCACTTCTCGCTCAAGCGAAAGTACCCGTCGCTTGAGCGAGAATTGACCCGAGATTACCCATTTGTTATAGGTTTCCTCACTCAAACGAATGATTTCTTTGCTTGAGCTAGAGAGAAATAATCGATCATAATTTTGTATATTCGATTATTTTAAAATTATGATCGATTAGTTCAAATTATAATCGATTATAAATTTCTTCGCTCAAGCGATGGATGTCTCGCTTGAATGAGAATTGACCACGGTCTAACGCAGTTACCCAATCAATTCTCGCTTGAGCGAAGTAACTCATCGTTTGAGCGAGAATTGACCATATGTTAAACGTCCAACGCAGTTATCCACATAATGCAACTTGGGTCACCACATATTTCAATCACTTCTCGCTCAAGCGAAAATACCCGTCGCTTGAGCGAAAATTGACCCGAGATTACCCATTTATTACACGTCTCCTTGCTCAAGCGAATGGTTTCTTCGCTTGAGCGAGAGTTGATCTTGCGCGAAATAATCGATCATAATATAAAATAATCGATTATTTTAATACGTGAACAGTAAAGAGTGCTAGTTGTGTAAATAATGTTTCAGATGTGCTATTTTGAGAAATATTTTTAAAATTAGTATTATCTATGAAAAAAAGTCAACGTTTTGACCATCTCAAATGTAAAAATAAAATAAAATAATTATATTATATGAAAAAAAAAAAGAGTAAAGAAAAAGAGAAAAGCGTGGTTGAAGTTAACGTAAGGAGAGTTCCAAAATCCCAAACCCGAAAGGAATACGGTTTGGTTAGGTAGTTCCACAATCTAATTAAAACTGGAGTGTATAAAGATTTTGAATTCGATATTTTCAATTTTCCATATTCCATTTTGCACTCTATTTTACTACCGTAAACTCCTTGCGAACTCCGATTTTGAAGCACAAAACATCCATCGTGCTACCTCGAGAGAGATTCGCTAAACCCACGATTCCACCCCCCTCCGATAGCCAGAAAATAAAGCGTGATACAAAAAACAAACAAACGATACGCCGTAAAACCAAAACACGCAGAATTTGAAGAGGAAGATTTGGAACATGCGTGAGGATAATAACAGAATCGTTGCAGCGAGAGAGCGAGAGAGCGAGTGAGTAAGCGATTATCGATTTCTTTCCCATATGTAATGCATCAGAAGAAATCAGAGGTTCAGATCGGAAAAGAAAGCGTAGGCGTCTCTTCCGATTTCAATCCTTCGCCCCCTCTGCAATACCAGAAACACCCTCACCACCGCCACCAATTCTACCCGCAAATCGAAATCGACATCTCCCCACCGCAACAGCGAAACGCGGCGCCGCAGCCAACCCCTCCGCCCTCCCTCTCCAAGCAGAAGCATCTCCACCCGCACGCCCAGCCGCCTTTCTTCAAGTCCCACAACGCCGCCTTCTTCTCCGTAACGGTTGCTGCCAAGAGCGCTGCGTTCCGCGCGCTTCGGCGCGTGAGGAGGCAGCGCGCGTTGCTACTACTCGCCGTGCCGCTTCTCTACCTCTACTTCCTCGTCTCGCGTTCCTTCCTCCTCGACCTCCTCTCCGCGATCGCCTTCTCCGCCGCGCTCGTGTTCTCGCTTAACCTTGCGTTCCCGCTGCCGCTCCGCTCGATTCGGCTCAAGGCCCCGTCCGCGGTGGTCACACGCCCCGCGCCGCCGCTGCCGGTTTTCTGGACTATCGGTTCTCGGCCCAAGTCGGAGATGCGCGTGGCGTCGGGGTGCTGGGTGCAGGTGTTTGGAAACGGCGACGTTTATGAGGGGGAGTTTCACCGAGGAAAGTGTTCCGGGAGCGGGGTGTATTATTATAGCAGGAGTGGGAGGTACGAGGGGGATTGGGTGGATGGAAAATACGATGGCTATGGGGTGGAGACTTGGGCGCGTGGGAGTCGCTACCGAGGGTGTTACCGGCAGGGCCTGAGACACGGGTATGGCGTGTATAGGTTTTACACCGGGGATGTGTACGCCGGGGAGTGGTCTAATGGACAGAGTCACGGGTGTGGGGTTCACACGTGCGAGGATGGGAGTAGGTATGTTGGAGAGTTCAAGTGGGGTGTCAAGCATGGCCTTGGTCATTACCATTTCAGGTTAGTTTCTAATTTGTTTTTGTTTTTTCTATCTATGCTTGCTTCAATATCTGTTTCTTGGGTGGTGTGACAATTAATTCATAGTTTAGGACAGTGTTAAGCTTACTATGGAGCGGAGTTGTGAATTTTGTTTGAATATGTATGTTGGAATGGTTGCGTGTATCTTTGATTCTTTGTTTGCTGTTGGAGGGAGTTTCTGCTATTGAGTGTGAGCATCAGTATGACATTTAATGTTATGTCAGCTCTTTATTTCTTTAGCTAGAATGGTGAGTGTTATTGCAGGATTTTTTTAGATTTGAGTGTTTATGTATTTGCTGTGTTCTAGGTTAGTAGGATTTGAGAGTGGTTGAATATCATTTTTTGTGTTTCTTAGAGATTCAGTTGTGTTGATAAGGGATGGAACATGCAAAATATCAACATACAAAAGGCTTTTTGGGGTTACGGTTTTGTAAAAATACTTCGCAGGTTAGAAAATATCGTGGTTTCCCTTCTGTAGTTCAGTTTACATATTGATAAAAAGCTATTAGCTGAATATGTCGTACTCTATTCTGAAGCCAAAATTTGACGATATTCATTTTTAGCACATGTTCAACCTTTAGCTAAATGGGATTGCTTCAACTCACCTTCACAGTCCGAAGGACAATTCCATTCTTTAGTTCTTGTCATGTTTTCTTTCCCAATGATATGGGATTGAGTTCTTACTATGCAGTCATATAAAAGCTTTTAAACTTCCCCATATTTAATGGGAGGATGGTGAGTTCTGTTGATAACTGTATCTAGTATCTACAATTGGGTAGGAGAGATAGTTAGGTAGGGTAACATGGTATGAATAATATGGGGGAGTTTTTAGCTTCAGAGTCAGTGTAGAGGGGAGCATAAGGAGACGCAAATTTCTTGAAGCTGTTAGATATAATTTTTGGTATCCCTTCTTTTCCATCTTGATCCTACAGTTATAATGATTAAGAATCAAGGAGAATGGGGCTGTTCCTAAAAGTTTGATTGCTGATCTGTATATTACCCTTTCTATTATAGTTTCTATCAACTGGTGTCAAAGCTACCAAATCCAATTACTTTTCATGGTTCATGGGATGGTCAAGTCGGAAGAGATAGAGAACTTCAAGAAGCTTTGCAGAGTAAGCATGTAAATATTCTTCAAGAAAAATGTCTTCACTTGATGTCCCCATTGTCAATGGAGTTGGGAATCAGACAAATTCTTCTAGAAGAAGCAAAGTAGCTTGTTCTGATCAAAGAGCAGGAGGTGGATAGGGGTTGGATAATGGACCGAGTGTGGTTCTAGATTTTAATTCCATTAAGACTGCTGGAGGAAGCTTGACATTTGCCTGTATCAAAGAACAGATACTTGCAGGTCAGTGTTGGTTTGAGCTTAAACTGGTGTTGGATGCAGATGGGTTGTGAGTTGTGATGATTGCTATGGGGGTTCTGGTGCATTCCTGGCTCCAATGATGGGAATTTTGTTTACTGATTCATTCTAAGAACTCTTTCTGTGTAACAGTGATTAGGAGGGTTCAACCCTTCCTGATTGAGAATCAATATAAGTTGCTGTTAGGTCTGAAACCGATGACATTTTCTGAAGATTATAGAGAATAATTTGTAATTGTATATGTAGGTCCTTTGCATGGCAAGGATCCAGAATATCTTAAGGTATTATTTTGAATTGACTGAAGAAGTTAGGGAAGAGGTTACCAGTAGAATATTTACCAAAGATGATGTATTGCTGAATAGTTGAAAAATAATGTATAAACAAATGAATGGGTTTCTCAGACAGTAACAGAAGAGAAGCTTCAATAATAAACCCTTCACCTGAAACAAATGCATATGGAAATGCACCTGCACATTCTGACTGGCATGGCCGAGATTCAGTCATGGATTTTTCAACCAACAGATTCAATGGTTATTTAGAAGCCAAGAAGGGGGCAGGGGGGTTTCATAGGCCAAGACCTTCCTATGTAGAATTTCTGGAGTAAATCAAGGAGTTGTGATGTGATCTACAATCCAGATGATGGAACTAGGCATTTCAATTTTTAAGAGCATAGGAATACAATGAGTCAGTTTTGCTGAAAACAGTATGAACAGTTAGTTATGCGAGGGGAAACAGAAATGACACAGTATATTAAATATAGGAGGGAAAGCAATTGAGGGGAACTTTTGGTTTTAGAGTAGAGGTTGAAAGGGAGCTTCGATACTCAGATTTCTTGGAGCTGTGCTTGTGTCAGACATTTGTCTATATTTCTTCTTTTCCGTTTTCCTTCTTGTTTCTGCTATCATTTTGATTCAAATCAGGGAGAAGAGTGATATTCAATAAGACTTCATCCTTTGTTTATCTGTTGTTACCATTTTTTGGTACAATTTCTATTAGACTATCTATTCTTTGATGATTGGACTTTGGTAGATACTTTGTTGAACATTTGAAAATATACATACCAACTGCAGTTTTCTCTGCAAATCTAACATTGTGGTTGTTATCAACGTGTTGGATCCTTGGCGACAATAGGTGCTTAATCATGTTAAGGTGTATTACTGGAAGTATTTCTGAAAAATAACTTTTATGCCTTATTGTTAACATGAATTATGAATGGAATTATTTTCTTTCTTTTCCTTTGCCTGTCATGAAAAGTTTATTTGTTTTTTTTTTTTTGGAATTAATTACCTCTGTTTAACTACAAATGGTGAAAAGTTTATTTGTTGCATTTTTTTTTGGAATTAATTACTCTCTGATTAATTAGAAATGGTGATACATACGCCGGCGAATACTTTGCTGATAAGATGCATGGTTTTGGGATATATCGTTTTGCAAATGGCCATCGATATGAAGGAGCCTGGCATGAAGGTAGAAGGCAAGGACTTGGAATGTATACATTTAGAAATGGTGAAATTCAATCTGGCCACTGGCAAAATGGATTCCTTGACATTCCAAGTACACAAAACACCACTTATCCAGTTTCTTCTGTTGGTGTATCTCATTCCAAAGTGTTCAATGCTGTACAGGTACGTTCTTTATGTTATGAGTTATTTCCCGTAGTTCTTGTTAAATGTCCCTTAAATGCAGTGCTCAAAGATTAGGATGATGTCCCAGTTTATTCTCTGTATATAACTTGGGTAGTATTCTTTATTATTATTAGTAGACATGTATGTAAATTTTCACTTTTAGTGCAATGACAAAATTGACTCTTCTTCTTCATATAACAACTATAATCCCATTTAGGTTTTAATCACATCCATTAATTGTGTCGTTAAACACTGACATGGACATGCTACATAGAAAATAGTAGTGACGTGTTGATTTATTATGTTTTTCATATATGTATTTTATATTTTCGTTTTTAATTCAAAAAAATTGAATAGTCTACAGGTATTATCTTACTTGAGTTTTACTTACATTTGTTAACTAGTTAGTTAAATGCATACCTAAACATTGCCTTGTAGAGAATGGAAGTGAAATATTAGTTACATACATACGTATACAACTAGCTAGGTGACTTTTTTCATTATTTTTAACCAAAAGAATTTCCTTAAATAAAAGAATATTGTTATATTCAGTTAATTTTTTATAGATCTCTTCTTTTAGAGATCTTAAGCATTGAGTCCTCCTCCCTTGGACCATATTTTGATTCCCTAGATTGGAGAAGGGGGGAGGTGAACAAATTGGCAATCCTTAAAAAAAGCGAGGTCAAAGGCTTTGAATTCATGAAGTTTTTTGTCGCCATATGGAAATGCGGGGGAGATTTTTTGTGCTATTAATCTTGATATATTTTAGTCCCAAATGTTAATTATGAGATAGATTTAGTTTGATAGATTTTAGCTTAAAAAGTTACAGTACAAAAAAAATTCTTGTAGTTTGATAAACTTCATAAAAAATATTTTACATATTATTGGGCCAGACGTATCCATTTATCTGTGGACTTTTGCGGACTGGTTTACAAACTAGAAAAAAGTTTTTTTATTTTGCGAGTTGGACTTTTTTTATTCCTTTAAAATGCGGGTATTGTGGATTGACCCTTAAATGGGTCAAGAGTATGTTTGTTCACCCTTACATAATGTATTAACTTCAGTCAATTTTCTCTTTTTGTACTAAAAACAAAGATTGATAATACTTGTATGAATAACTTAAAAAGTTAACACCTCACTATTATTTTTCAGGCGACAATGTCCTCATTAGTATTGTGATAGCATTTATCGACAGACTTTACAGATATGATTGAAATCCCAACAAAATTGTAGTTGTTGTATGAAGTCAAATAAATTTTTTGTTATTGTACAAATTGATAATACATGTTTTACACTAATTTTTACATGATGCTTCATCCATTGGTGTGTTTTTGACTATTTGAGAATACAAATTCTGGCTTAGGTTACAAATTACAATGTAAATATTTGGTGTCATTACCGAATGTTTTTCACTATAGACAGATTTTTGAACATGTTGTCTTGTGTGCATAAAATTAGCTCATATGAGTGAATTTTCATAATAAATTGTTTTTATTGGTTTAACTATAGGAAGCGAGACGAGCAGCAGAGAAAGCATATGAAGTGGCCAAGGTAGATGAAGGGGTGAACAGAGCTGTAGCAGCTTCTAATAGAGCGGCCAATGCAGCTAGAGTAGCTGCTGTGAAAGCTGCACAAAAGCGGATGCATCATGTTACCAATGAAAGCTTCGCGATTCCTGTAATGTAAGAGTATCTCAGCTGCTTTTATATTACAAGGGAAAGTTGAGAATGTAGAAGAAAGCAGCTTCACTAGGTGGCTACACTAGTTTAAACAGCTTCATGTCCATTGCAATAGTTGCTTTGGCATTTTGCTTTCTATGACTTGATCTTTTTATTATGGCTCCAGGTAGATGGCTGAAAGAAAGCAGATTTGTTATGTATGTCGGCTACGGCCCTTGTATAGAGGGAGGAAGGGTGATGACATCTATGGTCAAACTATTTTATAGATAAGTTTTCATTTTTTTTTTCCACTTTTTGTAAATTTATATAAGTGCTGGTGTGTAGGTGAAACCTACAACCGGCTACTGTTGTATAATCGCTTTATAAAATAACGAGAGGATAACATATACAATAAAGAGTCATTTTCTTTCCCTAACTTGAATGTTATTTGGGTTAGATTTTGGAATGATGTCTTGTAAATTTAATTTAAAACAGTTTACGAATTTTAAATAAGTTATATAGTACATTTAAATTGTTAAGTGCTTTTTATGTATAATTTTTTACTGGACTTGAAAGTTGGATGTTCTTCTTTGTTGATTCTTTTGGGTTGCCTTGGAGCAACTGTGATTTAAATGTGAAGGGTGTCAGAATCTATCCAAAGGGTGTTCGACGAGAGTTAAATGAAATTTTATTAAAACACACCAATTTTATTTAAATTCGGAATAGTTATAAATTATTGATATTTTTTGGTCTCGGAAAACGTGTTTAGATCTTATGCATAGAAAATAATGGAAATTCGATTACCTTTTTATAACTACATTCATTCATAAAAAAAAATGAATACTTCGGAGTCGTGCAATTAATTAGTAACTTAAAAATATTTAGTTTGACCTCAAAATAAAATAAGAATTTGACTGAAATATGAATAAAAAAGGTCATTCTTTCAGTTTGATAGGTTTCCTATTGTAAACAAGTCTTGTTGGTGAAACGAAATTCAATTTTTTGTAGTAAAAGATTGTTAAAATGTGTTATTGGCTGTTAAAATAGGAGTAAACTGAATTCATATCACATTTTAAAATGGATTAGAAGGCTTGGTTCATCTTAACTTGTTCATCCCTATAACTCCTAATAAAAGAAAGAACATTTGAGGTTATCGAAGCACGAGCAAATGATAAATAATTTGGAGTTGGATGCAATGTAAAGTGAGAAGCGATGAGTGATATAGTTCATCATGTTTCAACTTTTATTACAAAAATGAATTCTTGAATCTGAAGGTAATTTTGTTGGTAACTAACTAATATTTAGCTATAAATTACGCATTTTAATTTAATTTAAATTCCATAAATAATTTAACAACCTCTACTATACTTGCTAAACCTACATAGATGGAAACGCATTAAAAAAACTTCAAATTTTATTGATGAACATCACAAATGTAAAATTTATATTAACAGAAAGTATATCCTCCTCATTTTGTTTACCAGTTTCAAAATGAATGGATATCCTTCTCATTTTGTTTAGTCCTAAAAATATGAATCGACAGCCAACTGAATATATGGATTAAGTAAAAAAATATATTTAATATTAATAAATAAAATTAATTTTCTATTTTTATATTAAATATATTTTTACATATTATCAGTAAACTATAATTTTATTTTTATATATACAGACTAAATTTTATTTTAGTAATAAAAATATTAGAGGAGAAGATATAAGGACATATTTGAAGAAAAGCTACCATTGGATGGGACACGGACGGAACTAAGAGGTTCCAGTGGTCACAATCCCTTCGCAAACCAATATATATATATATATATATATATATATATATATATATATATATATATATATATATATATATATATATATATATATATTATTTATTTATATTTATATTTATGATAATTATTTTTAAAAAAATATAAATATAAAAGAAATTTTTATTTTTTTCTTCTCATAATTTTTTATTTATAATAAATATTATATTTATTCATTTAGATAATTTTTTACTTGTTTTTTTTCTATTTTCGTATTTTTATCTTTTTATTTTCTCATTCAACTTTTTCTATTAGAAATTCATTTTGTCTTTTTACATTTTTATCTTTTATTTTTATTATTTATTCACTTTTATATTCTTCAACTTCAAGGTTTCAAATTATAAGTTTTTTTTCTTTAATTTTTAATTTTTTCTTTTCTATAATTATTTCTAGTATAAAATGATTTACGGTTTGAATAATTGTTACGCATTCAAATATTTTTGTGGTGAATATTTTAATCATTATATGATTCTTTTTAGTTTGACTACCAAATGTAAACTATTTTTCAATCTCTTATAATTACTTAATTATTGATTATAACTCAATAATTAATATAATGTCAACTACTATAATTGATCTTCTATATGAATTTTTAATATAAGTTCTAATATTCAATATAAAGTGCAATATAAAGTTTTAAATATTGTAAAGAAAGAAAGTGAATTGCAAGAAAAAAAGTAAATGTGCATAAAAATAAATGATAGGAAAGTAAATCTAACTCATTACTAAGGATAAAATAAAAACTTGTAAATAAAATTAATAAAGATGATAATCCAAATTATAAAAAATTGCATCGAAAATGTTTGTCTCATGTTCTTATTGTTTTTTAGAATGAAAATCTTTGTACAATTTGAAAATCACCCTTAATTGCACTTATTTTACCTTATTTATATTTTCTTTGTGTAATTGTTAGGAAAAATAACATAAAATAAAAATGGTTACTTTTTCTATAACCACTCCCTTGTTTTCTCGAGCAATTCTACTGCCACTTAGCACTTGTGTCACAATTGAGGTCATGACGGGGTGACGAAAAAAAAGATAAAGAATTTAAAAAAATGAAAAATGGAGTTGTCATCATAGTTTATTAAGAAAAACTACGAAAAATCTTTAAAAATGGTCTCAAAACCATATTTGGATTCGGGAGTCGGTCATACATAGGAAAGATATTAACATCCTATAATGTCCATCTTAAGACGGTTATTCTTAGTTGAAATAAATGTAATTTTAAAAATAATTATTTTCCCCTAAAATCAGACAAGCAAAGAAAGAGAAAAAGAAAACATTTTTGAAAATGATTTATTTGGGCCCAACAAGGATTGATATTACTTCTACGTATTTCCATCATTGAGAATGAAAAATCAAGCTTACGTAGTTATTTATAAAAGAAATTTGTATGGTTGATTGTTTTGAAAATGTTTTTTGATATTTTTAAAAGAGATTTTTTTTTTCTTGGTTTTGAAGAAAAATGTTGCAAAGTGTAAAATGATACAAACAATCGTACTGGATACATTTGTAAAAGAAATATTAAACCGATACAAGATGATGCAGACGATCATACTTATATCCAAAATAATTTATTTGAAAGAGGCACATTGCATGCAGTCATACCCGTGCTTTGGAAAAATGAGACACATATTATTCTTGGGTTAAAAAACTTTAATTAAAAATTTAGTGGTAGGGGCGACCATAACCACAATTATTCTTGTAAAAGACCAGACACCCAATTAACCTAAATTGAGTGATAAAGAAAATATAACGATTACCAAGGACAAAAGAAAAAGTGATAAAGAAATCCAATGAAAATGATGACCCAAATTGTCAATAACTCCAATAAAATAGTCTTTCCTTATCTTAATGTCTTTTTAGAATATAAGTATCTTAATATAATTTGTCATTTTTAATTACACTTATTTCATTCTATTTATACTTTATATTATGTAACTGGTAAAAGAATAAAATAAAATACAATATAAAAAATGGTTTCCTTTCGTATTAACCATTTTTCCTCATTAATTATGTAGTGGAGTTATAACTGTTTCTGCATACTCATTCATTGATTATGTAACTTCTAGTCGATCCCTTATCTCTCTCCATTAACCATTTTTTAATATTTCTCTTGTCTTTCTCGATTTCTTTAAGTCTATACATCTTGATAACTTATTTCCTTATTTTCCCTTGTTCTTTTGAGATTGTATAACCCTTTCTTTATACCACCCATCCCTTTCTCGATTTCTCTAAGACTTTGATTTCTATTGGAAACATTATCTACTTATGCCAATTTGTTTTTTGATTTCTCATTCAATTATGATGAACATGTGATTATTTAATCTTCGATTATTATCTTGTCTCTTTTTCGATTTTTCTTTCTATTATTATGCATCATCGATTATTTAATTTGTAAATTCTCCTTGATCACCTTGTTTTTGTCTCATTTTTCCTTTTGATTATTATGAAATCTTAATTATATAATTCTTTATTTTGCATTTTTGATCACTTGTTTCTCTCAATCTCGATTTCTCATACATCTCTTAATTGATTAATTATATTTTGGATTCTGGATCCCTCTTGATCCTTATAATCTCGATTTTGATTTTTACACTCTCAATCTCAATTTTTACCTTCAATCTTAATTTTTATTTTCTCAATTTTTAATATCTTAATTTCGATTTTTACCATTTTAATCTTGATTTTTATTTTTTACTTTAATATTTTTTTAACCCATTAATTCGATATATTTATAAATTTACATGACAATTAACCATTGTAAAAGTAAATAATATGTTAAAATTTTTTCATATCAAAAACAAATTATTAAAATCAAACCCACTACCATAAATTGAAATTACATAAATTGAAAGGTCAAATCCATCTTCAACAAAGTTCTAGGAAATAAGCGTCGCGTTGAATCCAAATCCTAACTACCTTCTCTAAAATAAATAAATAAATAAAAACACGCTTTTTCTTTCGATTTCTCTAACGTGTATTCTTATTCGCTATCATCAACTAAACCTGTGTTAGTTTAGCTTTGACACCCTCCTCCTCCTCCTCCTCCTTTACAGCCAAGAAATCGGAATCATCATACTCACGCTAAATCCCAATTATACCCCTACTCTCGTCCCTAATTCACAAGCCTCTCTCTGTTAATCATGTACGGCAACATGCTGGTCAACTGCTCCAACTGCCGCACCCCTCTGCAGCTGCCACCTGGCGCCGGATCCATCCGCTGCGCCCTCTGCCACGCTGTCACTCTCGTCGCCGATCCACGCGCCGTCCCTCCTCAGCCTCCGGCCTCACTCCACGCGCCTTCGCCGCCATCCCCCTATAACCACGCGCCACCCGGGCCCCCACCCAACCCCAACGGCCGCAAGAAGGCCGTCATCGTTGGCATCTCGTACCGGTTCTCGAGGCACGAGCTCAAGGGATGCATCAACGACGCTAAGTGCATGAAATACCTTCTCATCAACAAGTTCAGTTTTCCAGAATCTTCTATCATTATGCTCACCGGTAAATCTATCATCTTTCGATCGCTGCTTTTCTCCCCGTTTTTGGAAAGAAATTCTCATGGAATGTCATAATTTGGGATTTTTTCTTATCTTATGAATGGAATTTGATTTTTATTATCAATAATTCATGTTTTAGTATTTTTTTCATTGGTTGATTTCGTTTTAATTAATTCTCGTACTAATTGAGTTTAAGATGCGGGAGTGTTTTTTGTTTTTCGCTTTTTGATTTTTTCTATTAATGCAATTTTCTCAAATAATTCAGACTTAACTGCTTGTTGAAGGTTTTTCAGAGTCAACTTTTCGTCTTTCTATTTTATTTCGATTAGATATTAGTTTATTGTCCAAGATTTTTTATGTTATTTGTAGTAATTGTACTTCATAATTTTCTATCTGGCAGCTTAGTAATTTGTTTTACAATTCTTCAGTAGTGATGAAAGTAGAATGCTGGAGTTGAGTATCCACTAGGAGGTTTAAATCATGGTTGAGAAATAGAGAATTGTCATCGGTTTCCTTATCGAATTACTTTTTAACATTGCCACTTAGGTCAAGTACAGTTTACTCCTATGGTTTGAATAAAAATCAGTCTCTATACCTGTCTGTGGTTTAAAAGATTGCTTTGTCCCGCAGGCTTTACTGGTTTTGAAACATGTGCAATCGAAGGCAATTTGTTTATACCCTTTTTGATGCAGGATATTATTCTTTGTCTATCCTGTATGTATACCGTGATAGACCAATTTGTCTGCACATGTATTACCACATGGTAAATATGGCTAATAAATAAGTAAATGCTTTTCTTGACTAACACATTTTCTATTAAAAAAATGGATAGAAGAAACACCGGGTGGTACACGGAGAACATTGTCATTTTCCAGTTTGCACTTAGTTTTTATGAATTGTTTCTCTATCTGAAGTTTTTATTCAATTTTTTGTCTGCTATTATGATACTTCATATTTTAGTTATTTTCTTGTAGATAATCCAATTAATAAAGTTATTTTAGGTGCTCAAAGATACAAATGACATCAATTTGGTTAATTGAGGCCAAAGAAAGTTGACATCAATATATCTTTCAATCATAGAATGTGACATTAATTTAATCCCTTGCTCAGAATCTCTACTAACAGCATCCATCTACTAACAGAATATTAGAGGGACGAAATTGATATCTTCATTCTTTAGGAAACTGAATAGGTGTCTACTTTTGTTCAGTCTTGCATGACTCTTAATCTACATCATGTTTGGAATGGCATATTCAATGTACACTTTTGGGTGCACCTTAAAAGAAAATATTTTAATTGTTCATGCTTCATAGTATTCAGACATCAAATTTTTCAGATCTGTGTTGTTTTTCATTAAATTTGGTCCATATGTTAGTTTAAATGTTGAGTGTTTCAATACTTTGTGGATACTATACTCGGATCCATCATTATCTAGTCCTCAGTTTGTTTCTTTAACAAATTACCTTTGGTTCCCAACCAGGAGTTATAGTAGCTTTGAATAAACATTTTTTATCAGATATTCTTATATGGTTGTTATGAATAAAAATGATAGAAATTGAGTTAATTGCAAGGTTTGTACTTTGCACTGAAGAATGTAAAACTTAGATACATCTCTCTTTCTTTTATGGAAGTCATAATATAACTTATCTTCTGGAAACTCAAACAAAGATTCATTAACTATATATCTAATTTGATTGATTTTACCTTTTGGTGTGTTATAAAGTTCTGATATCTTGGTTATCAAAAGAGAAAATATAAAGTTTAGATGCATGATTTTTCTCTTATTTCTCTCCTTATTATCCAAACGTTGAAGAGAGTTGAATTCAATTAATATCATTTACTCAATTTTTGGTGAATGAGGAGGGTAACTTTGATAAAACATTTCATTAACACCTTTTTTGTATTTCTATCAAAAGCTTTTGGGAGTAGCTGAGGGAGATGAGTTGTGTGCTAAATTTATAATAAGGGGAAGTTATATTACTTTTTAACCAAGAAGGTAGGTGGTTTAAGCTTGTCCTATATTAGGATGCATGTATGTATACTTTATTTACAATAGTATTTGACAGAAAATCCAAGTACGTTTGTTTTCTTCATTTTTGGTTTATACCAGTTTAGATTTAAACAAAAGTCATGCTAGCCCATTAACTGTTAGAGATATGCCTTTGTAAAGTCTTTTCTTTTATTCTTCTACTACCCATATGCAATACTCCTCCACTCATATATGTATACGGGTGATGTAGGAGTTTTACTAAATTTTGTAATTTTCTTTAGAAATGAATCATATTTCTTGACAAATTTAATATGGTTGTTGGAATTATTAACCTATAAGTTGTATCTATATCTGTATCTAGGTTTCTAGATCAGCTTTAGTTCCTTGACTTTCCATCTACTCATTGTATCTGTTCTTTATCATTACACATAAAGGGAATCATATGAGGGGGGTGATTAAGCCCTCTAAAACATATCTTTCTCTTCCTTTTTACTTTTAAGTTGGTATTAGAGCAGGTTAATTCCACTCTATTTGTCTGCAGTCTCCTCTGGTGAAAAATCTGCCGTTATCATCTTCTCCGACCACTGTATGTATGTTGGCCATCGGTCTAGTTTTCTTCGGTGACCATTAGATTTGAATCGTCCTTGAGAAGTCTTAGGATTCGATTCATTTGTTCCAAGCTTGGTGCATACAATGTATATGCTCCAGCTTGAGGGAGAGTGTTGAGACATGTTTCTCTATTTTTTTGTATTCTCTGTGTGTTCCTTAGACTAGGGTTAAGGGTTTGGGCTGAGGCCCATATCCTCTTTGTTGTATCTCTTTTATCTATAAATACAATATAATAGTGCCTTTAGACACTGTATTGAAACCCTAAATAAGTTTCTCAAGTTGGTATTAGGGCGGCTATATCCCACACTGATTTCCGGTCATCCCTGCTCCCATGTAATCATATCTTTCACTTACTGTCCAACATATTTTAACCCTGCATTTTTATTACCTAAGGAACTGTGAATCTCTAATAGACAAGTTATATGTATGCTGTGTTTTCATTCTCTATGAATCCTATAGGTACAGAGAAACAAATAAAAAACACATGTGAAGCACTTCTGACATGTAACTAGTTGAAACATTATGTGGTGGAGAAATTTTGTGTTCTAGGATTCACATTGATCTCTTATTTATAGTGTGATCACATGGCTAACTTGCACCCTGATCATGAGCAAACAAATCAGCAATTATCATGAACATGGTTGAAATGTCAGTATTGCAAACATAAATGACAATTGTTGAAAATATGAATACAATATTCTGTAGTTATTGTAATAGTAGTTGTTTATAGGCATATAATCTTTGATTTAGAGAACTAAATATCCTCTATATATGTATAATTAATTTAACAGGTCTATATAAACTCACATCTGCTCGTACTCAAATACACGGTTTCAGTCCATGGTGCATCTGTTTCCTCTTCAACGACAATATTAAACCCTTTTCTTCAAGTTGAACAAGTTCTCATCTTACAAGTATGCACGCTTAGAAAGAATAATTTGACAATGCAATATGGGCATCATGGACTGGAGCAAATAGATAACTAAATGAGGCATCCTGAATCATAGACAGTAAGATAAATTTCTAAATGAGCATTGCTAAAATAATAATCTGACAAGATACCTTGAATGACAAACAGCTTCAAGATCTAGATTGGCAAGAAGAAAGAAGACTGAGACGTGACTTGAAAGATGTTCGCTCTGTCCAGGCAATTGTTCACAGATCCAATGTGGCAATAATAGACTTAAGATTGTATGTCTAGCAACACAGACTGTCACTGGTCTCATATTTACTGATTTACATTGAAGTTTGCAATCAAACAAATTAAATCAGTGAATTAGTTGCTAACTTACTATTTAATCACTTCCTGACAAAGATCATGATAAAAACTATTGAATAATTGTTAATATTCAAACATAAATAATGATTATAATGATGGTCAACTTGGTATATAGATCCTTGGTTGAATTTATCTCCTCTAGAAAAAGTATAGAAAGTGAAAAAAATAAGGGTATATAGATCCTTGGTTTGAATTAAACTACCTTGTATTCATAACCCACTTAAATCATGGATAGATACATCCTTTCAAACTATACATACTTTTTCTTCGTCTAGGAGCCAAATCTGATATTAAATTTTGACATGCAATGCATATTTATGATTTAGTCTAAGAATTTGGAAGAGTTGTTTATCCTACACTGCTTTATTTAAAACAAGGAAAGAAGTTCATAATGCATGTATGCTAGTTCTCATCATTTGAATTTCAAAATGCAGAAGAAGAAGATCCCCATGGCCCCAAATTTCCATCCAAGCACAACATTAGGATGGCGATGTATTGGCTTGCACAAGGATGTCAACCTGGAGACTCCCTGGTTTTTCATTATTCTGGTCATGGTTCACAGCAGAGGAACTATAGTGGTGATGAAGCTGATGGATATGATGAAACGCTATGTCCCCTAGATTTTGAAACGCAGGGTATGATTGTAGATGATGAGATCAATGCAGCACTTGTCAGACCCATTCCTCATGGAGTTAGGCTACATGCACTAATTGATGCCTGCCACAGTGGCACTGTTCTAGATTTGCCATTTCTTTGCAGAATGAACAGGTTACCTTCTAAAAAAGTCCGTTGTAGTTTCTTCACGGTTTAACTTTATTATATGTGGCTTTGTTGAATTTATCATTGTGATGTTTAATGAAAATTTTTAAACTTTGCGTTACACATCACCGAAAGGGAAAGGCATATAAATTTATGTACTTTTTATTTAATACCAAGTACTATGAGGATTAATAGCACATAAGAGAATATGGAGGTGGATGACTAAGTGTAGGAAATATTGTATTGCAGAGAAAGTTGGAGCATCACTTATTATATCATTTAAATCTATTTTGCTTACTTGCATTTATTCTTTGAAAAATAGAGTCTAAATAAGATGGAAACTGGAGAGAAAGAACCAAAAGAACATAACAAAAAACAGAGAATAGAATTCTCCGCAGGGTCTCTCCTTCATGAAGGATCTCTTGCTTCATTTGCAAAATCTATCAAATTCACACTTTGCCTCCCTCTAATCTGATTACCTCAAGTATAAAATATCTTCTAGCTAACGAACAAACTAGTGAGTACAACTAATTGACTAATGGGCTTACTAACGGCTGTTCTTGTTGACTCATCATATTTCCTAACGTTCCCCATGTACTTCTTTTAAAAGGAGTGGACAATATACATGGGAGGACCATCGCCCTAGGTCTGGTGTATGGAAAGGATCTAGTGGCGGAGAAGTTATTTGCTTCAGCGGATGCGATGATGATCAAACTTCCGCTGATACATCAGTAAGTTCATCAAATTCAAATAGATTTATCCCTTACCGTGTTTCAATCTAGACATGTGAGAACCATTGTTTGAACATATATGATCACTATCACTATAAACAGGCTCTTTCGAAGATTACATCGACTGGGGCAATGACATTTTGCTTCATCCAAGCCATAGAGGGTGGACATGGGGCTACCTATGGCAGCATTCTTACTGCAATGCGCACTGCCATCAGAAATGTTGGCGGTGGTGGTGGTGGTATTGGGGGTGGTGATGTGGTAACATCTCTTCTCTCCATGCTTTTGACCGGAGGTAGTCTAAGTGCTGGTGGACTGAGACAGGTAAATATAATTTGTCAGTTGCCTGATCGTATCACAAACCAAGTTTTAACTATTCTCTTTTTAGCAGTTGCTCGATCATATGAAGTTTTGAACTCATTACTTGTACACCACCTACAAGAGTTCCCTTTTTTTTTTTTTTTAATGTTTGTGTGTTCGCTCAATGAGTTTCCTATTGTTAAACTGACTTCTGCTATTGTTTTTCCTTCTTGCGTTTTGTTTTCACAGGAACCGCAGTTAACAGCTTGCGAACCATTTGATGTTTATAGAAAACCTTTTTCATTATGATACTCAATATTCTTTATTCTGCAATTTGTTTTCCTCGGCGCTGTCCTTGTTTACGACATTGATTACAATGATGAATTAATGTATTATAAAGTAGATAGGATCCTTTTTTTGGGTTGGGAGTTACCGAGAATGTCTTTGGATGAATTTATATCACCCATGCAGAATGTCATATGCTCTTATAATAACGACTTGATTGCTGCTGCACTCATTGGATTAATATCGACTCCTAGGTGTGCTTTAACGTGTGTCAATAAGATTTGAAAGTGATTATTTCGTATTAATTTATATTATGTGATGTAAGATTCTCGATGGATTTGATGTAATTATTAGTATGAAAATTATGATAAGGAATACATGGATGTAAAGATTATTGATTTTTATGAAAAATATGGATTGGGATGGTTGATCCTGAGGAGAATAATCAATTAATCAAGGAGGTATTCTGATATGGAAAAAAGAAGGAAAAAGATATATTGTCAATCTCTTCTCACAATCATTTAACAATTTGTTTTAATAATAATAATAATAATAATAATTATTATTATTATTATTATTATTATTATAAAATCTTAGATTTTATATATTTATTATTATTATAATATTAAATATGAGCTGTAGAATAGATGTACCCAAGATTTAGGTTGTTAATAGACCAGTGATCAAAATAAAAAGAAACAGTTTTAGGAATGCATTTTCTGAGAATAGTAGTACAAAGGTAAAAGGAATTGGGAAAGAAGATAAAGATGAAATCAGCTTACAGTGACGGAAGTTGGGAAGAGTTAAAGTGTAGTGTTAGCATACCCAGTATATCTTGATTATATGTATATATTTTTTAAAAGATCTTGGTTTTGTGCACTAATTAAATTAAGTATTCTATTAATTAAGATTATTAGGACTTTTTATATATAACTAAGATTCATTATATACATTAAAATATTATAAAGAGACAGATTTTAATATATATATATATATATATATATATATATATATATATATATATATATATATATATATTCGAGTGTCTTTTTAGTTGGAATGTTTGACGTGTTATGTTAAATCATCTTTTATTCGCAGATTTAACTTCTTAAGAAGATTATTATTTTCAGAATTACATGAGGAAAGCTTATGGTTAATTATCTTTTATTCATAATTTTAATATTGAGAATCTTAAATTGTAGAATTATTTAATAAATATTTTGATTTTATATAACTTATTTATATATGAAGATGAAATGGTTAGAAGTATCCGTGGAAGTATCTTGAATGAAATGATTAAGGTGAGTTGCTAAGAGAAAGACTAAATGAGTTGACGGTTCTTCGGATGGTTTATTCGGGAAAGTTTCCTGATGAGCTATAGAGATGAGTCGAAGATACTTTAAACTTAGCTTAGTCCGATGAAGGATTAGACGAGTGAGTGTTTTCTTAGAGAAAAACGTCTTCTCTAACGTGTTTTTCTTTGTCCTCCATGTATGTCTTGTGTATATAATCTCCTTTCCTGTCTAATGAAATGTCGTTCATTGAAGGTATACCCAGGGAATGAGAATGGACGAGTGAGTGTTTTCGTAGAGAAAAACATCTTTCAAAACCTGTTAAGTAAAGTTTTCAAAGATATGATATTTCTATTAATTATTTTGCATGATACTTTGTCTTTAACCTTTTAATATATAAAAGCAGTGACTACGTATGATTTCATGTATAACAAAATTTCCAAAAATTATTGAGAAGTCAAAATTCTGCATTCAACTTGTTCTATCTATTTATAAGTGAAAAATCGATACAAGGATCGAAAAACAGAAGAGAGAAAATTGAAGATCATATGATTGGTTAAAAAGTTAATAAATCGGAAAGATGATTGGAAGACACCCGGTGACCACGAGATAGTATGAACATATAAATCGAGAATGAAAATCGAGAATTAGAAAAGAGAGAAACAAATCGATGAAAGTAATGATAAAGTATAGTGTAAAGTCAAGGTTAAGGGAAATCGTACTTGATAACTGGAATCGAGATCGAGGAAAACAGTTATCATGCATATGGAACATGAGGAGTGGTTTTTCACATCGTGGCTAAGGTTAGAAATCGAGGAACGGTGGTTAAAATGCACGTGGAACGTAGAAGCGATTTTTTAAACCGTAAGCTAAGGTAAAAATCGAGGAACATGCACATGGAACGTGAGGATAATTTTTTAACTGCTCTTGGGAGGTTACATTGAAGGATGCCTATAAATAGAACGAAGCCTGAAGAAGAAGGGGAAATTGGCAGAGACAATAGAAGCACAAGTGAAAAGTCTACCAGATAACGACGAATCATTAAGTTTCTTGACGATCTAGATGTCCATTCTCATTGACTATTTTTACCGCTTTCTTTACTTTTCCTGGTAACTTATTTACATTCATCAATTTAAGTTCCTGTACTTTAAATGTTTTGTCATTTACCGTCAACGCAATATAAGATTTTGCACTTAAATTTTCCTGCATTTACTGTTTTTGCAATTTCGATTTCCTATTATTTACATTTCTGCAATTTCAACTTCTTGCTATTTACATTTAATGCAATTTGAAGTTTCCGCATTTTTTTTCTGCAATTCGATATTTTACACTGTTTATTCGATTCGATATTTTTTTCTTCATTGTTGTCTTTACTTCAAGTTTCTTAATACAAAATATAAAAAATAGTACTTTCGATTGTCAATCAGCACACTAGGTTGCGTTGTTAGCATTGCTTAATACTATGAGATTTTTGATTCTCATATACGTTTTGATTGAAAATTGTCGCTAGCCTAAGTGAAAAGAATCTACGTGGTCGAAATTTGATCAGAACCTAAAATCGAAATCGATCAAATTTTCACCAGAAACACTATCATATATTAAAGACAGAAATCTTTTCGAAACTTGTTTTCCCTGTGCTCTTCGTCGTTCAACATTTTCTTTAAGTAAAAAGGTAATTACATTATGTATAATTTATTATAGGTCATATTGAATTGTGTTTGAATTGTTATTTTTCTTTAAACATGTCTTTGCTATGAGTTTTTGGTCAGTTGGTATAACTTGGTTGTTCGGTTTTGTAGTGTGTAAGATTGGTTATTGGTCTTGTTGGTGTGACTAGACTTAGTGTGTCATGTGAGGTTAAGTAATCTTACAGTGTTCAATATTATTAGTTAAAATTTTCAATTTAGAATTATACGGTAGGATTCTTGTATATTTTGAAAGTTAGTGAGTTATCTAGTTGGTGTGATTAGATGAATAGATGTAACTCTAGTTCGAAGGATGAACTAATTTAAATTGTTATGTGTTGATTTACTTCTTTATTTTGATTTTATATTTTGTGAATTGTACATATAATTGTTCATTACATTGTTAGTTGTGATTGGTTTTTGTATAGATTGACTTATCTTTCTATCAACTAATTCCATTGAGTTGGGTAGTAAACAACATGGAGGTGTGTCATCATATCATTAATAAGTAAAAATTGGTCATTTTGTTTGAAAAATTCTTGCAAAATTTTTTATAATTCAATTCACCCTTCTAAAATTTAATCATTTTTATTAATAGTATAAGTTATTTGTATGATTTATGCAAATTGGTTTATAAAAATATAATTTTATCTCAATGAGTAAGTTTTATGTTTTCTTATAATTGTAATAATGTAATTTTCATCTATATAAGCATTAGCATAATAAGTTTGAATAATCAATTTTACACACATAAATTGTTATATAAAATTAAGTTGTTTTTATTAATAAATAATCTTTTAAATTTAAATATTAAAGATTGCTAGTCCACTAAATAAAATTTAAAATAAATTTTATTTATACTCATAAACACCATGTCACTTAGAAATTAAGACTAAGATAATCTATAAACACCTTATTTTCTTAACCTATTGAGACATTTTAAGCACAAAACTATGTTTGATTAAATTTTAAAGTAAACAATAATTTGGATGCAATGATAGATCCCAACGATATTATTATGGTAGACTTGAGGTTGTGAGGCATGGCAACGAGGCGGATTTTGTCTTCCCGATCCCTACCCCCAACTTTTTTAACCGTCTTCGTCTCGCTCGGATTCCATCGGGGTTAGAAATTAAGTCTCATTCTCGTCGTCCCCATTAGATTGGGGTTTCTACACCCTCGTCCCGTATCCAATCTATATTATTTTCAAAGAAATAATTATATTTATAATAAATTAATTTTACTATTTTTATGCATTTTTATATATAAATATTTATAATTTTACAATTTGTAATTATTATTAATTAAATATATATTTTAATTTATTATATTTATATTAAAATATGTATGTAAAAGAAATATTTAATTATTTTTTACAGTAATAATAATAATAATAATAATAATATTATTATTATAATACTGTATTCAAAAATTTGAATACTTATAACATTATTATTATTATTATTATTATTATTATTATTATTATTATTATTATTATTATTATTATTATTCAAACATTAGATTACATGTATAAGTTAATTCATTTTTAAGTCATTATTTAAAAATATGAAATATATAATTTATAAAAAATATTTAATAAGTTAATTCTTGTTTAATTAATTCAAGTAATAAAAGTTTAAATAATCAATTCATTTTTAATCCTTTAAAATACAATTATTTTATTACGATAAAATTTGATATATAACACATAAGAATAATAAGATCTAAAAGATATGACATAATAAAATATAATAAATATAAATTATAAATAAAATAATATTAGTTACTACTAAGCTTTATGTAAAATATTTAGAAAAAGATAAAGAAGAAGAAAAAAATTAACTTTGTGTTGTTCATCAAATTGGTTGAAAAAAAAACAAATTGATTGGAGAGATTAAGGAAATGTGAAAAACTGAAAGATAAAAGAAAGAGAATAATGTAATAAACTAATTGATATAAAAGATTTAAATAGACAAAAGAATTAAAAAGTGGGTAGAAGAAAAGTAAAAATGGTGAAATATAAAAAAATGGCCTTATATGTAATATA